TTAATTTAGATGTTATATTATTAGCTTTAAACTATGCTATAGCTAACTATTTTACCTAGTTATTCTACTAGTAGTTTATGTACACTTATAAGACTTATTCTATTATAGTGTTTATGTTCTTAGTCTAGCTATTAGTCTTTAGGTAAAAAGCTGTAAATAGATAAAGAATAATTTAGAGCTATTTACAGAGTTTGTCCTAGAAGGCTAAGACAAACTGTGTACCTCTGTCTAATATAATTATGTTAGGCAGGCTATAGTAAACTTATACATATTAGTAGAATAACTAGGCTATATTAGAGGCAGTTATAAAGGAACATAGTATTAAGTGTTAATACTTAGTTAAGTAATTAATAACTACTATAATATTTATGTACTCTTTAGATAAAAGTAAGTTTATAATAAAATTAATTAATATATCTTTTTAAGCTTATTTAAAGATTAAAAGTAGTTTAAGTAGGCTATTATACCTTTTTTAAAAGGCCTTTACTTTATAGCAAGTATAGCAACATAATACGTATTAGCGTACAGTATAGAACATGTAGGGCTAGTAGTACTCTCTCTGTAGTAGGTTAAGAGTCTTTCCTCTGCCTAGGTGTCCTTTAACAAGTAAGTTATGTATAATTTAAAGTAGTTTAATTCTTAGTTTATTAGAATTAGAAATTATAAGTTAGTTATAGTAATATAGCTTACTATTTTAGTTTTTATAGTTAGCTAGTGTTACCTTCTTTAACTAACTAGCGCTGTTTTAGAGCAGGTCTAAAGTTTCTTAGATAAATTTATTATTTAAATACTTATTAGTAATAATTTAATTAATTATTTAATTTATTTTATTTAGGTTAAAGTCTAAAAATAGCTTAAGTTAAAGCAGAGTTTAGTGTTAAGCCTTTTACACTTCTTTCTAAGCAAAGATGTTTTAGAATTGCCTTATAAAAGCATCTAGTTTCTCTTTATTTTAACTAGAATAATAAGTAATTTTAAAATTAAAATAAAATAGGTATTTAAACTAATAGGCTTATTAGTAGCTAAGTTATTTTATAGTTGCAAAGTACTATAAGTTCTTGTAGTTAGATAGGACCTATATTAGATGCACTGCACCTTTTAGTTTAGGTTGCTATTATTTAAAGCAGTATACTATAGTAAGTAATTCTTTATTATAGATCTTATAATTACCTTCTGCAGGACTTATTCTTTTTAAAAAGTATGTAATAGGCCTAATAGTCCTGTCTAGCTTAGTCTAGAAGAGAACTTCTGCTACTACATAGTCTAAGGCATTAGCTTCTACAAGTATTAGTAGTTTAAAGTTAAAGTAGTAGAGTATTAAAGCTTTAGTAAAGGCTTTTTTTAGCTAGTTAAAAAACTATTAGTAATTTAAGTTAAAGTTAAATTAAACCTTTTTTTTAGTAAGTGTAATTATAAAGCTTACTAGCTGTAAGAAGTTGTTAATAAATTATTAGTAAAAGTTAGTAAATTCTATAAAGGCTTAAACATCCTTTATGTCTTTTAGGTATTGCTAATCTAGCATAGTCTAAACTTTAATAAGGTCTATTTAGATGCTATCTATAAAGATTACATATCCTAAATATATAACTTTTAATTAGTAGAACTTACATTTATCTACATTAAGTTGCAGACCTGCTTCTTCTATAGCTTTTAGCACTAGGCGTACATGCTGTTTATACTCTAAAAGGCTATTACTATAAATTAAAATATTATTAATATACATAGTGCAAAACACGTCTAGGTAGAGTTAGAGTAAGTTATTTACAAAATATTAAAAAGTACTAGGCGTGTTAGCTAAGCTAAAGGGCATTACTAGGTACTTAAATAGTCTATATTAGGTCTAAAATGCTGTTAGCTACTTATTACTTTTTACTATTCTTAGCTTATTAAAAGCAGTAATAATATCTAACTTTATAAAATACTTTACTTTACTTAGTTAGCTTAGAGTTTCTTATAAAAAAAAAATTAAGTATTAGTTTTTAATAGTAATAGTGTTTAGTCTTTAGTAGTTAATATAGAATTAAAGCCTACCCCTAAGTTTCTTTATAAATAGTATAAGTAACACTACTAGTAAAAAGCTAGCTTAAATAAACTTTTTTTTTAAGTTTTTATTAAAGTATTTTTAAAGCACTTTTAATTTATTTAGCAACATCTTATATAGTAGCCTATAACTAGGTTATTTACTAGGCTTAAAAGTTATTTAGTAATTATATAGACATTATATTAAAAGTTTATTAAACTTATTTTAAAAAAAAACATGTAATAAGTTATAGTAGTCTTAAGAGACTATTATTTTTAAGTTAGTATGTTTTTAAAGAGCTAAAGCTTAGTCTATATTAGAAATTATAACTGCATAGATTTTATAATCTAGTTATTAAGCTAGGGTTATAAATAGGATAGGTCTTATATAGCAGATGTCTATCTGCTGTTTAAGTCCTAGTTTATGTCTAAATTAAGTAAGTAAAAGTTCCTTAAAGGCTTTTTTTTCTTTAGGTTTAAGTAGTTATTAAATTATTTTATATAGCCTATCTTAGTAAAAGGCTTAGCTTATTAGCCTTACTTAAGTAGTTTTTCTTTAAGTTATTAAAAAGTAGGTCTAAAGACCTTCTGTATTAAGTGCTATTTAAGTGTTATTTAGATGTAAGCGTAAGCATACATTTTAGCATTAGAAAAAGTTAAAGTTTAGAACTTACTCTTAGTAATTAAAGGCAACCTTGTGCTAATACAGCTATAGTTGTTCTAGAATTAGGTTATAACATCTTATGTTTGTTACATAGAGTTTAATCTACTCTTTATAGTGTTAGTAGGTAATTATAATAGTTATAGTATAAAAGATAGAACTTTTTTTAAGTTATTTTTTATTAAATCTAGTTAAGTAAATTATTTAAGTAAGTAGTGTTAATTAAAGATTTAGTTTACACGCTAGTTTTTTATTAATGTAACCTATGCTATTTACTTTTAAGTTAATAAGAGCCTATATTAAGGCTAATATAGTTTTTTATTATAAATATATAAAAATATTAACTTAGTACTTTTAGTTATTAGTAGGGGACTTAGCCTATAAGTTAGTAAAGATCTAGTGTTAAATTAGTCTTAGAAGGCAACTTAGCCCTAGGACAAGCCTTTTTGCAGGCTCCTACTGCTATAGCTGCGGCTATGTTAAGAGTAGCAAAAAGGATTAGAGCTTAAATACAAGTTAGAGCCCTTATAGAAATAAAATTAAAATAGTAAAAATCTTTAATAAGTACTAGCAGCGCTACTTATATAGACTTAAGAAAGGGGAATAAAGCAGTTTTAAAAAATATAACTATGCTTACTACACTTAAAATATTAACTTTTTTTTTATAATCTTTACACTTTCTAGAACTAACTAAAGCATAATTTAAATTAATTTTTATTATGTTAGAGTTCTTATTTATAACTGTGCTAGTTTAGGGGCGTATTAGGGCTTGTACAGGGAGGAACCTTATGTTATTATTATAGGTAGCAATTAGGTTTGCATACGCATTAAGGTTGTTTAGAAGGGGTTCTCCTACTATAGCGCGTTGCAGTTTAGTTAAGAGGGAGTTATATAAGGCTATAATTAGACCTATCTTATTTAGGCCTATATTAAATGTAAGTTAGTAAAACTTAGTAAAGTGTAAAGTAAAGCTTTTTTTTTCTTATTATAAGGTGTTTAGGCAACTTAGGGCTATTAACTTTTTATTTAGGTTTTTATAAGTTGCTTACAAGAATGCTATAAATTAGTCTAAGTTAATAATATCTTTATTTATTAGTAAGTTAATTAAGGCTGTTACATTACAGTTAAGTTAAGAGTAAGTATATAGTAACTAAGAGTGTTTAGAGGGGAATTAGTCTATGTTTTCTTTAAGTTTGTATTAGAGCTTGTGTAAGAAGGAAGGTAGGTCTTTCTGTTTTCTGTTAAACAGCAGGGGATTAGGGAGTTAGTTAGATTTTATTACCAGGTTAGAGGGGTTACAGGTTGTAGGCAGCGTTAGGCAGGAGGGAGTTAAGCTATCTCTAGACTTCTAGGTAGGCTTTAAGGTGCTTAATAGCGCAAAGCTGTTCTTTAAAGTCCTTTTAAAAAGCTTTAAAGCTTGCAACATAGCAGCTTTCTTATAAAGCAAGCGCTTCTTAGAAGGCTTCTTAGCTTACTCTAATAGCTTAAAGTTATGCAAGTACTAAGCTTATTAGATTAGATTTAGAGGCTATTCTTAGCTAGGGTTTTAACACAACATAATGTTATAATTATGCACAAGTAAGGTTATAGAGCTTCGCGGAGGTCTAGTTTAATTACTACGTGAGGTATTATAGTAGGTACAAGACGTTGTGTGAGAAACAGGAAGGTTTAAAAGGAAATTAGTAATTAAATACTTAGCTTAGAAGTCTAAGCGCTTTAGGTATAAATTAAGCCTGTTCTAGGTTTAGTTAGTGTTAAGGCGGTTTGTGCTTAAGTTTATGTCTGTGTCGTGTTGTGTTTGTGTCGGACGTGCACTAATAATACTCCAGTACGCGTCCGATACGGTTATGTCTGGGATCCGGGGAGGATACTGTGACAGTAAACTACAGTAAATTACAGTGAACTGTAGTAGTTTGCCGTAAACTGCGGTAGTTTGCCGTAAACTGTAGCAAATTGCAGTAAACTGCAGCAAATTGAAGTATACGGCAGCAAAGTGCAGTAAACCGCAGTACTTTGTTAGATAAAAAGTATATATAAAATAAAATAAAAAGCTGCCCTCTGGGGATGCCAAGACCTAGAGGATACCAGAAATTATCACCGAGGTTTGGTGTTCTCGCTTAATATCGCGTATGATCTCGCTGACAAATCGACCCCCTTCTAACCCGTAATTATTATTCCAGGCTAGCGCGATACGATCCGGGCCGTCTCATGTAATCAGCACTGTGTAATTTACTCAGATTGATCAAGAGCTGAGCCTATCTGTGGGGAGCCAGGGCGCAGCACATGGGCCGATCCCCACCCCCGGCGCAGTCCGACTCAACTCTGGCGTGTGCATTCAGCTGGCCTGGACCCGCTAATGGCTTGGCTGGCCTCGCAAAAGCGTGCTCGGGGTCGGCTGTATTGTACAAGTCCCTCACCTAGTGTGGGTCGGAGCCCTCCCTGCTAGTACGCAGTCACAATGTCGCGATGGTTCCCGAACTGGTCGAAGAAGCCTACTAGTAACGAGACTATCGCGAGCACGACAACGAACCCTTCCGCGAACACTTCCACGACAACATCCTCATTAAGAAAGACGTTCCCTGCAGGTATTAGCTCACTCCATACTGCAGAAAACAGCGTCGTCGAGTAAGGCGACCTCTCTTCGAACGCCCTAACCGTGCTAATATGGTATCCAACTAGTATCGTGTTCGTCCATGGCCTTACTGGCGACCGTGAGAAGACATGGACAGCGAAAAATGCCCCCGCTCCGTGGCCTCAGTCCTTACTACCGTCCAAAGTCCCTAACGCTCGCGTTCTCACATTTGGATACGATGCATACGTAGTAGACTGGAAAGGTGTGGTGTCGAAGAGTAGGATCGGGAACCACGCGATGAATCTTCTGACTTCCGTCGCAACGTACAGGGAGAATGATGATACGGTGAGGTCTGAGTAGACCTTGCTACTTGAATAATAGAACTAAGTGTAGTAGAACGAACGCCCTATTATATTTGTCTGCCATAGTCTTGGTGGTCTAGTTTGTGAGGATGTAAGACGTTAAGCAAATTGACTTAGACGATCTTCTTCAGCTCACAAGTGAGACAGGCCCTGTCATTAGCGCAGCAGCGGCCAGAGAAACATCTTCGAAACATCCTTAACTACACTCGTGGCATTGTGTTCCTCGGGACTCCACATCATGGCTCTGGCCTTGCACAGTGGGCTGAGAGACTGGCAAAAACAATTGGAGTGCTTAAGCAAACCAACCCTAATATTCTAGAAGTCCTTAAGAGCGACTCAGAGGTTCTAGCGCGGGTTCAAGATGGGTTCCACACTATGGTCAGGTCACGAAACTTAGAGCGGCTTCCACCAATCGAAATTACTTGCTTCTATGAAGAACTGCCTTTAGTTGGCATTGGTACTGTACGTAAAGTCTTATTATGGTTTTATCTATACTAAATATTCGCTACAAGGTCGTCCCCTCTCATTCAGCTATTCTACCGGGCTACATTCCGATAGGGATACGGAGCAACCATATGGACATGACCAAATTCGCGGACGAGGACGACCCAGGCTTTGTTGCTGTTGCTGGAGAGCTTCGTCGATGGGTAAAAGAAGTAATGGCGGTAGGCAATACCAACCTGCCTGTCGCGCCGTCAATACAAGAACGTCAGGGACATGCGCAAGCACTACAGCAGGTACAACAGGACAGATTGTGTATGTAGTGTGAACCTTAGTAAGCAAAATTGCGTATTGCTAAAACTACATATAATAGTCCTTGTGCCATATATGAGTAACCCGGGGTTTGTCGGTCGTTCAGATATCCTTAAGAAGGTAGAGAACGCTTTTCGCCCCAGCCTCCAGCAAAAGCAATCCACGTCTCAAGCGCGAGCCGCACTCTTCGGGCTAGGCGGTATAGGGTACGCTTCCCCTTAGTAGTAATGCAGAAATTTCAACTAATGTATATCAGAAAAACCCAGATTGCCTTAGGTTACGCGTACTGGTTGAAGGAAGAATGTCCGGAGGTGTCGATATTCTGGGTGCACGCGAGCAACGCAGAACGATACCACCAAGCGATTTTCCAGATCGCAGAGAGCTATCAAATCCCGGGCCACAAGGATCCTAAGGCTGACGTTGTAAGACTCGTCAAAGAATGGCTTGAGAGAAAGGATCAACGGCCGTGGCTTATGATCATTGATAATGCGGACGACAGTGAGGTTTTCTTTAGCTCTGGCGAGGTTACAGCAAGAGGGGCAGAAGGCCAGGATGGATCTGCTGTCCAAGGCAAACTGGGGCACCTCATTCCCAGATGCCCACATGGAGCTATCCTAGTAACAACACGAAACAAGCAGACTGGTTCCAAGCTCACGGGAGGCCGCAGCATGATCAATGTCGGGCCGATGAACGAAGAGGAGTCCATCCAACTAATCAGCAAGAGGCTCGAAGACAACGGACTCGATACCAAGCAGACATCACTCCTTGCGGATCGTCTGGATTATCTGCCCCTTGCATTAGTTCAGGCTGCGGCCTTTATCCAAGAAAATTCAATGACGGTTCCTAAATATATTAAGCTTCTTGATCATGGCGACCACAGCCTCGTGGAGCTTCTGAGCCAGCCGTTCGAAGAAGAGGGGAGAGACTCGAGCGTTCCAAATGCGGTGACTGCTACATGGATTGTTTCCTTCAACCAGATAGATCAGCAGTATCCTTATGCGGGCAATCTGCTGTCACTCATGAGCTTTTTTGATCGACAAGGAATCCCAAAACTGTTGCTTACATACCACCAAGATAAGGGGCAAAACCAACAAGACTACCAACAAGAACAGCTAGGAGGGCAAGAAGCAGCCGTAGAGCTAGAAAAAGCACTCGGTGTCCTTAAGGCTTTTTCCTTCATCTCGGAGAGTGAGGTGGAGGATAATCTCAATATGCACCGGCTGACTCAATTGGTGATGCGGAAGTGGCTAATATCAGAAGGGAAGGCCCAAAAGTGGGGTGGCATAGCGTTGTGCAACCTGTCCGCACTTTTCCCCAACGGAGAGCAAGCGAAATGGACGATATGTGCTATGTATTTACCACATGTCTACGCTGTTTTGGATCAGAAGGGCTCTATATCAACAAAAGCAGCTCGAGCTGAAGCAAAGTTACAACACAAGGCAGCACTTTTTATGCTGCATCAAGGTCAATGGAACAAAGCTGAAGAGTTTCAAGTGCAGGCAGTGAAGGGTACAAAAGTAGTGCTCGGGGAGGAGCATCCTTCCACGCTGACCAGTATGGCGAATCTGGCGTCGACGTACAG